CCTCCTCCTCCCACAACCCCCCCCTTTGAAACCCAACTCTTCCTCCCTCCTCCACCCTCATCCTGCTCTCCCCCAAGAATTAGGTTTGGTGTATCACCAAACCCATCGCTACCTCCATCATGGATGGGGATCTCAGCCTATCCCAATCGTTAGGGGGACTCCGCATCGCAAATCCCGATGATTCTTCCTTACATTCGTCCGAAGATGCTGCAACAACGCCCGCTGCCAGTGCTGCAGATGTAACGGAACCCGAGCTGGTGCGCGAACCTACCATCGTCTCCGAACGACCGGCCAGTTCTCTATCGACAACTCCTCCCCGACCGTCTGCTCCTGCCTCCACGACAGATCTGCAAGACACCCTCACCTCCCCCTCAGTCGAGCCCGCAATGAAGCCGCGAGACAACCGGAGCTCCCTCTACAATCCCTACTCTGACCTCCCGCAGCAGACGAGTCCTCAATTCACTCCTTACGCGTCGTCCTCACAATCACACCCTGCTCCGCAGTCCTCCCGGCCTATGTCCGCCTTCTACGCGAACGGATCCACATCAACACTGGCAGCTGCTCGGGAGGGTTCCTATCGTATTCGTACCGATTCCGCGGCCTCCTCCGCCTCCGAAAGTCAAGCACGTGCGGAATCTCGCGGTGGTTCCGCGGCTTTTCAGGCCGGTGTTCCCGTCCGCGACAATAACCACAATGATCGCTCATATCGAACCGCCCAGTTGCCGCCAACCAACGGTCCCATGATCATGCGTCAAACTTCCAGGGCTCACGCGCGGGGTGGAGCGACGCCACAGATGGGAGGCTCTCCGTATGCCATGGAGAATGGCCCCGGTGCGAGCAGCGAGGACTGGCAGGATCGTGGTGCAGCGGTCGCCGTGAGGCAGGAGATTGACGCCAACGGCAAGCCGGTTGCGCGTTACATTAAAAAGGGCGTCCGGGACTTTTCTTTTGCTCACACGCTAGGCGAGGGCTCTTACAGTACCGTCGTCCTGGGAACCGACCGGCAAACGCTGAAGGAATATGCCATCAAGATCCTGGATAAGCGACACATCATCAAGGAGAAGAAGGTGAAATATGTGAACATCGAGAAGGACACCCTCAACCGGCTTACCGAACACCCGGGCATTGTCCGACTATATTACACGTTTCAGGATGAGCGCTCGTTATATTTCGTGCTGGATCTCTGCAAAGGAGGCGAGTTGCTGGGCGTGTTGAAGCGCATGACCACCTTCGACGAGGAGTGTACACGGTTCTATGGTGCTCAGATTCTAGACACAATAGACTACATGCATAAACGCGGTGTGATTCACCGGGATCTCAAGCCGGAAAATGTTCTCCTCGACAGTCAGATGCACATCAAAATCACCGATTTCGGAACAGCCAAGATCCTCAAGAGTCAACGGAAACCTCAGAACTCCAGCGGGATGCCCCCGCTAGACTCTACCGAAATCCCGGAGGACGAACGAGCCAGCTCGTTCGTGGGCACAGCAGAATATGTAAGCCCGGAACTTCTGACGGATAAGAATGCCTGCAAGGCCAGCGATCTCTGGGCCTTTGGCTGCATCATTTTCCAGCTTTTAGCGGGTCGGCCTCCCTTCAAAGCCGGGAACGAATATCAGACGTTTCAGAAGATCGTTGCGCTCGATTACGACTTCCCTGCCGGCTTCCCTGCCGTCGCCCGCGATCTCGTTGAACGCCTTCTTGTTTTGGATCCAGCCCGTCGTTTGCCCATCGAGCATATCAAGAACCATGAGTTCTTCCAGGGAATCACATGGGGCCCGGATTTATGGAAGCGCAAGGCGCCTCGTCTGAAGGCGTATGTTCCACCGCCGCGTGAGCCGATCAAGCTGAACGGCGGTGGTGGTGAAGGCTATGCCTCCAGCGCTAACCCGGCTGCCTCGAGCACTAATGTCAGTTCGCGTGTGATGCCCCGACTGGTAACCGAACTACCACCTCCCAGTCAACTGGACATCGAATGGTCCCCAGTCTTGACCAAAACCAACGAGCGAATTTTGAAACTCGGTAACCTGGTGGTTCTATCATCCCCAGCAGCCCACAGTCCCGTCTCGAAACATGGGGGCGAGTACGAAGCACCCCGGAAGTTCTCCCGCTTCTTTGGCGGCAGCACCACCAAGAAGCGGCAGCGCTTGGTGATGGTTACTTCATCTGGGCGCATCATCATGGCTGCATCTGGAGGGGACGAGAAGAAGGCGAAACTGGAGCTTTCCCTCCTGACCCCAGGCACGTCATATCGAACGTCGACGGATTCCAAGGGATTCTCGTGCTGGGTGGTGGATACGGTATGTGAACTCTCTTCACAAGATTCGGTATATTGCTTCTAACATTGACACATAGCGCGACAAACACTTTGTCTTTGAGGATCCGAAGCCCTCGTCCAGCAACATGGGCGCCACCGCCGTATCGGCCCAGGAGTGGCTCGATAGCCTAGACCGCGCGCGGGAAATGGCCCTGTCTCAGCAGGGCAACGGCTCTTATTCTGATGACGCCTTCCGCGATCTGTCCTCCGGACTGTCGAGCCATGCCAATACTCTTGACCGCAGCTCTGAGGTTCAGAACGAGAGTGCTCCCGCGGGACGAGCCACATTGGTCAAGCACCAGAACACAGACACAGAGTCCGTCAAAGGCAAGAAGCGATTCAGTCGCCGTCACTCCAAGAATGGTCTGGCAGCAGTCTTCTAAGCCTTTCGTGCTCGCCGCTTATACCTCTACTGCCCAACTCACCTCAATTCCTTGTCTTCTTCCTTCCCCAACCCCTCCGTTCCCCTGGACTCTCCTCTTCCCCTAGTCCAGCTTATAAACCATTGCGCAGGGTCGCATACATACAAAGTCTCTTCATTGTACCTGGAACATATCTCGTCTCCGTCTTTTGCTTGATATCCCTGAGAGTTTCCTGCGTGTGTGATTGGCGATACTTTTCTACCATCCCTGCCAATGGCAGGGCTTGCTTTGGACTATTATACTTAAAGCTATTATTCTTATCACCGGGATTCAGTCATGAACTTCAGCCGGCGACTTGCTTGTTTCCTTTGTACGTTTGCATCTATTGTAAGAAATTTTCCTTTGTGACGTGGCTTGCTTGTTGCCTTGCCTTGCATCTTCGCAATGATGAGCGTGTTTTTATTCCCTGTTGAACTTGCTGCATTTAGATGGGCAGGAGTATGCATATATCCCTCATCTGGTTGTTTTCATTTACTTTGTCCATTTCTCTCAATTTTCTTCTTCCCCATTCTCGACTTCTCCTCAATCTACTCTTTCTTCTCTCTTCCGATATATATATTCCGCGCATTTGCGATAAACCGATCTGGCAGTTGAACCTACACCCACTCCACTTCCAATCGTCGCCATGTCTGGGACAGTGCGCTACAACAGTACATTCTTATCACCATCATCTATTCATCTTCAAAAAGCGCGGGGACTTACCTCTTCAATTTTCTACACTACTGTCACCACCTTGCAGTCTTGCTCCTACTCTTAGGGATCTTGTCCGTGTGTTCTTTCTACTATACTGAGCGTTTTCGGAGTTATTTTGATCGGTTACCTCTTACCATTTTGCTGTATGTTTGTGTGTTTGAGTGATTAGTATTCACTATATTTCTCTTCTCTTCTCTCCCTACTATCTACTTGTCCACCAAACCTCTCCTTCATTTTATAATCCTTATTCATTATACCTCCCATCTCAGTTCTTGTTCTCTTTTCTACTCCCTTCAATGCACAATCTACAGACAGTCCCGTGGTCTTGTTACATAGGGTTCATTCCTGAAAATCATTCATATTTGATGTTATTAGGTGTAGTCCAGGAATAAAAGCAGAGATGAAAGTGTAAACTTGGAGAAAGAATGAATCCCTTTGACGGCTTGTAGTCAATTATCTTTCTTTTCCTTTCCTTTTCGTTTTTTTTTTTTTTTTCGTTTTTTTTCCGCGCTGCTTTGGTGCAGTGCGAGAATATATTCTACTATAGAAGAATCATTGTTCATACTACTGATTAAACTATCAAGTAACGTCTGATATACCAAGTCCAGAAAGAGAAGTTGCACTGTACAATTATGTATTATATCATCTATATACAATAAGTGAAATATAGGATATCTTCCCTTCCCCGAAAGAGGTATCTCTTCCATCCCAGTGAAGAAGAGAGGAGAAGAACAATAATATTTCAGAGAAACAGTTATATAAACAACCAGTCAATCCTGGAATTATCCAATTCCTGAATCCAATCAAAGTCATCGTCATCATCATTAACATCGTCATGGGGGTAATTATCGGTGGTAGTGGTAGGCCGTTGCTGCTGTTGTTCCTTCTCAGCCTTCTTCTGATCCTGTTTCTGCCACATCAGGCTCAAAACCCAAGCTGCGTTGCGGACGTTCACGCTAGTGATGTTGAAGTACAGAGCGCGCAGTTTGTTGAGTACAAAGGGACGCTGGGAGGGGTCTCTGCATTCTGCGCCGGCAATGAAGGTGGGCCAAATGAGGCATTTGAAATGGGGATCTTCGATAGGGATGAGAGCGATTTTGCGGATGATGAGGTCTGCCACTTCGGCGTGGTCGGAGGGGAGTCCGAAGTGGTTGGGGATGGTTGCGGCACCGGGACGCGGTCGGGAGAGGACGCGACTAGCGTAGAGGTAGACGGCGCCTTTGAAGACGGTGGCTAGGGCGGTTCGCATGGAGAGGTCTGCGAGGTAGTAGCAGCTTTGCATGGACTCGGCCCAGGCGGAGGGGTCGAAGGCTTGGATGTGTTGGAGGAGAGCGCCGGGGGATTGGAGGGGGTTGGTGTCTTGGGAGAGGAAGGCGGAGGTGAAGATCATGGAGGGCTGTGAGTTGGGGTCGACGTCCGGGTCGAAGTAGAGGCCGGCGTGGATGAGTAGGATGACTTCGAGGAGATAGGCTGGACAGCCGACGTAGGAGGTTTCTTCGAGGCGTTTGAGCATGGCGGGGCCCATGCTGGAGGTATAGAAGGGTTTGGTTAGGGACCCTGGGCGAGCGAGGGTGGAGCCCATGAGTTGGATGCTGGGAGATGTATCAGTATGTGTGTCGCTTATCTGGGAGAAGGTTATATGGCTTACAGGAGAATGCCGTCGACAGCGAAATCTTCCAGCCATTTGACGAGGTATTGAGGCGGACTGGAGGCCCCCTGTTCTTGGCGGCCTTTGAGAAGCTTTTTGGCCCCTTCGAGGTGGAACTTCCAGGCGCCATCTCCCGATTCAATAGCATCCATCAGAGCGAGGACTGTGATCGCAGCGAGGGTCCTGTTATCATTGCGCAAGACGGGATCCCGGATGTCGCTCGATAACTGCCCTAAGGCGCGCTGCTTGAGTCCGAGAAAATGCTCATATACCTTGGACGACGGGCGCCGAGACATCGAGGTGATCACGGACTTTTCTACCTCTTCGGGAGACAGGAGGGTGCGGTCTGCTGGGGAACCCTCCGACAACCATGGCGTCAGGGAAAAGTCCCCGCTCGCCAGGATGGCATAATGCAAGGCACCGGTGGCAGCGAGGACGTGGGCGAGGAGAGGAGAGTCGCCGACCAGGGGAATGAGGTCACGGTACGGATTGCCGGTCTCGGAGTAGAGGGTGAGGTAATTGGCAAGGTTCTGGTTGACTTCGGGATGATTAGACAGGGATCACACAGGTAGATAAACCGGGAAAACATACAATGCACAATGTAGAACCGTGACAGCTGACTCAGGTCCTTGAACAGCGGATCCACCAGGCCCCATGGTGCGGAGACGGAAGTAGCTCTTTGCAAGACAACTTGCGTATCCTGATCATCATTATCCTCCGACTGGATCGGTTCTGGGATACCCTGGATGCCCGACACGTTGGGGGGTACGCATAAGCTGATGTCGATAGACTGGGTAGGCGAATCGGCAGCTGACGGCGGCGACGCATTGCTGGAGGAAGAGGGGCTCGAGTCACCGCGCCTAAGATCTGAAGGGCGCATAACCTCATTAAAGCTGCGACCCATCATCTTTCCCCGACTGGCCACACCTCCCTTGACCCAGACGAGGGGCTTCTGATACCCCAGACATTCCTTCCCCGCATCGCGGCACTTGCGGCATGTTGGCAAGCCGTTGTCGCAGATGATGCGGCGGCGACGACAGGTATAGCAGCCCTTCGACATCACTTCGGACCGTGTGGGGGCAGACGAACGGGTCACTTCTCTGGTGGGTGGGAGAATCGCAATCCGATGCAGGCGGCTCGAGACGAGTGTCTACACAGGACACTCGCCATCATTGGGACTCGTCACGACACGGAATGGGGTGTGGGGGAGGAGAGCTTCACCCAGCACATTGAGAGCACACCACTTGAGGGTGCTGAATGCTGTTAGCCCAATGAAGAGCACGGCAAGCCGATCCAAGGCCGAAGAAAGAAATGAAGTAAGAGAGATAGATGACGAGAAGAGGAGGGGGGAGGAAGAAGAGGGCTGAAAGAAGATCTGGAACTGCGCCGCAAAGGAATCCAAAGGCCGCCAAAAAGAGGAATCAAGCATCCCCATTGGTGGAGTGCTGCTGACTCATTATGTTCACTCCCGCTAACTATACCCAGAAGGGGCTAGTGTCATACGAGATCATGACAGAACAGAGTAGATGCCTTGGGTGCCTTGAATACGGGGCAGCCAGCGGGATGGACATTGAAATCAATTAGGAAAGAGGAAGTTGAAGAGAGAAATGGAGTTTATACTTTTGGTGGGTATATATCTCTCTCTCTTTCTCTCTCTTTCTCTCTGGACGCAATAGGAAAAGAATGGAGTCGGGGATCATCCGACAAAAGGCAGCTGAACAGACGGATCCGACTATCCAGTCTAAGCCAATCAAGAGGCATCAACGCAACTGCGAGGCCGTCGATGGACTCAACGAATCCCGATTGAACTTCTTGACGTCCTTTCGCTTCTCCTTTTCGGTCGGTCGCAGAATTTCCAGGAGTCAAAGGGCACTCCGAGTCAAAGCAGTTTTGAATCACGCCCAAGGGGAGGGTTTGGTTTCGCTTTGGTGGATCTCTTATCCTTCTTTGACAGAGGTATCAACCGCTGTCATCCAGTCTCTCGCTGCACACAGACCATCTTTTTTCCCACGGAAATCCATCTCGAAGCCATGGTTTTGGACCCTATGTTTATTTATCGACTGTAACTGGTCTGTCGGCTTCAATCTGCATCTTCCTCGCCTTGGCTGCATTCTGATTGCATTCGGTCCAGTCGACTCCTATCCTATTCTTCGGATCATTATTCTCTTAGCCTGGTCCTTTTGGTCTTCTCTCTCTCCTTCTTGTCTTTTTCCCTCCAACTTCTGCTACTAGTTCTCTACTTCTCTAGTTCTTTCTCGGTGGCCCACTTTGTTATCGCCCGCGGGGATCAACAACCGGGAATCCGCCGCCACTCCCAAAACTCCTCTGGCGCAAATCTGTCTCTGTCCTGGGCGTCGCGGGTCCCAAACATTCCTCGCTGGCCGTGTTGACGAATTCCCGACCGGGGCGCGTGCTGTTGGATTTTGAATGACGGCCCGCTCTCTGCAGCAGCTCTCTTTTGGCGTCTGGTCATCGCGCATCTCTTCCTGACGGACCATGTCCACCAAGTTTCCCACTACTACCGTCACTCCCGTCGAAATGGTCTCTCAAGCTCAGGTCCTCGATCGCTCCGTCCCGCCGCAAAGCGCTGCCTCCTCCGTGTCGCGCCATTCTCATTCCAGCCGGCGCCATCGTTCCAGTCGTTCCCATCATGGAGGACTCACCCATCAACAGCAAAACGACTTTCCTATTTTCACGCACACGGGCGATGTCGAGATTGTGGTACGCGCAGGGGACCAGGAGCGACGCTACCTCCTGCACCGATTGATATTGGCGCAATGCTCGGGCTTCTTCGAGGCCAGTACCCGCGAGGAGTGGTCGCGACAATCCATGCCGAGGCCGCCAAACCTGGACACGGGCGTCCTGTCGAGGATTAGTGAGGATGCCTCTTCGCTATCAAACGGGTCAACCCTGGCCCAATCGGAGAGTGGAGGATCCGCTTGGTCGGTCGAAAAGAGACGCTGGAGGTATGAACTGGACTGGGTAAACAAGGAGGAGGATGAGGAGCCAATTCTGGTACAAAAGGTTAGTTGATTGAAGCCTTGTGAAATTGTCATTAGCAATGCTAATCGACGAATCTCTATAGCCTCCCAGCTTTTCCAGCGCATTTGGTTGCGATTCGGGACAGTATCCGCCATCCGTGACCAAACCGTCCAGCTCTCAAACGGGCTTTGTCCGGTCGATGGCCAATCTGGCCGGGATGCAGTCGGTGGTCAATCTCCCCCATCGATCTGGGACGGCACACCCACCCACAAACCCCATCGTTCGCGATTACGATAATTTGTTCCGCCTGTTCTACAACTACCCGCCGCTGCTCAACAGTGTCAACATCGCAACAGCCTACGCCGAGTGCCGGGCCCTGCTCAATCTAGCCGACATGTACGATGCGCTACCTGTGACCGGACCCCGCGTCGACCACCATCTACTGGGCTTTGGCTCGCGCCTCTTCAAGCAGATCGCCAAGTATCCCCCGAGCTACCTGAAACTGGGCTACCTGGCGCGCAGCCGTGTCATCTTCTCCGAGGCCCTCATCCATGTCGTGGGACAATGGCCGGCCGGTCTGCCCCATCTGCGCAACGGACCGTATTCGCCGCTCCCCAACTCCGTCCTGGACATCATCGAAGATAAGGTCGAGGACCTGGAAGACCTGAAAGCGCGCATCGACTCCAAGCTCCTGCGGCTCACCCTGACCACCTCCCGCGGCGAGCGTGTCAGTCCCACAAACGCCTACTTGGATTGGCTGGCTGTCTCGCTCTTCCGACAATGGCTCGTCGACAGCACGACGCCCCCGCCGACTCCGATCCTCAAGAACTCCTCAGCGAACGCACACGCCAGCACCAGCACCCATGGCATCCGCAGTTCGCAATCGACGAGCCACCGCCCCACAGACTCGACTTCTAAGACCACCACGACAACCACAACCGCCGCACCACCCTGGTCCGCCGCACGAGTCTACCGACTCATCGGCTCCTCCAGCAGCCAAGCCTACCTATCACACGAGGACCTGAAACGATTCCTCAAAGTGCACCCAACCCCTTCCTCCGAATCGCTATACACCCGTGAAGTCCTGAAACGATTCGAGCGCAAAATGGACGAAATCAAGCGGCTGGCCCGCGAGATAGTCAAGCCGCTCATGCGCAATTTCCTCGAATTGGATCTGAAAGGTAGCGAATACGGGGAGGGAGGGTTGCCGTATTTGACCTGCACTAAAGTCGACGACGAAGATATTCCCTGGGAGTGATAGCATAGATCTATCTATTGACAACACATATATCCCCTCATTACGCAATTTACGCCAAATAACGATACCCTGGAAGTTTACGGAACCAAGTTCAGTCACGAATTCTCGATCAGATACCTTATGTTTTATGCTTTATGGTTTATGTTTATGCTTTTTGATGCTTCTATAATCTACGCCCCTCTCCCCGATTGAATGGTCCTTATTGATGTCTATGCATATCCATGTTTGTCTATGTCGTTTGTGTTTTCGTTTCACGTCTCATTTTATTTTTTTGCCATGTCATATGTTCTGAATTACTACCTTAGCGATACGACCTGAATGTGTCCACGACGTTATGATTCTTTTTCTGTCTTTTCCCCCTTCTCTTATTCTGTTTGTTTCTCCATGCACGATTACGCACGCCATGTCATACAATTACCTACTAGCTAGTGATGAAGTTTCTCAGATATAGATCGGTAGCCGGATACATACAATACAGGGTTTACCATCTATTTAATCGAATTCGACTACTACTGATTTCATCCTTAACCTATCCAGTGTTAACTAGTAGTAGTAGGTAATAGATATAGTACAGCTATTCATTCAGCATCCTATCATACATACATACACACCAACCATCTATACATATAAAACACAACATGCTAACTACTCACTGCCCCCCAATAACTTCCATCCCACCCATAAACCCCCTCAACACCTCCGGCACAACCACCACTCCCCTCTCCGCATCCCACCCATTCTCCAGAATAGCCGCCAACACACGAGGCACCGCCATCGCCGTACCATTCACCGTATGCGGGAACCGCGACTCCTTCGCTGCTCCGCCACGCACACGGGTCCCCAACCGACGACTCTGGTAATCGGTACAGATAGACGCGGAAGTGACCTCTCCCCAGCCGGACTCAAGATCCCCGGCACGCAGTCTCGACGGGAAGAGGACCTCGATGTCGCGCTTGCGGCTAGCGCTAGCGCCCAAGTCGGAGGTAGGCATTTCGAGGACGCGGGCGGGGAGGTTCAGCGCGGTGAGGATCTCCGTTTGGATGGAGAGGAGCTCAGCGAAGAGGTCATCCGAGGTAGTAGTTGGTTTGGTAGAGTCAGGGAGGTTATCCGTCCAAGCGAACATCTCGACCTTGGTGAATTCATGCACACGGTACAGACCCTTTGTGTCGACGCCACGGGAGCCGGCTTCAGCGCGGTAGCACCGACTGGGGCCGACGAGACGGAGGGGCAGTTGTGTAGCGGGGATGTCGCGGCCGGCGTGCATAGCCGCGAGAGGGATCTCGGCGGTACCGGCTAGGGAGCGTTGGGGCTTGGACTTGTCCTTTTCGTTTTGCTCGATGGACCAGATCTGTTGCTCGTTGTGTTGGTCGCGCGGCTGGAAGCCGCAGGCTTCGGCGATGTAGGAGTATACGAGGGAGGGAGGGGAGACGGCTTTCCAGCCGTGGCGGCGGGCGACGCTGAGGGCGTATTGGACGAGGGCTTGTTCGAGGAGGGCGCCCTCGTTGGTCAGGAAGTACCAGCCCCAGCCCGTGGTGATGGCGGAGCTGGTGAAGTCGAGGAGGCCTAGGTTTGTGCCGATGGTGACGTGGGAGCGTTTGGGGTCAGGGTGGGTTACCCATGTCGGGGGTGATTCGGGGTCGAAGTTGATGTAGTTGATTAGGGTTGGGTCGGCGCCGATGGGGGTGTGGGTGGAGGAGAGGTTGGGGAGGGATAGGGCGAGTCGGTGGATTTCGTCGGTGCAGGTGGTTTTCCGGGTGGACATGTTGTTGGAGTCATCTTTTAGACGAGTGGCTTCGGCGCGGAGGGAGGAAAGTTCGGTGGAGGTGTCATTGTTGGCGGCGCTGGCGACTTTGGCGATGGCTTTCTCCAGTTCCTTGATGCGGGCTCGCGGGGTCTTGAGGTCTTGGTCGAGACGTCGCGCTTCGTCGGTCAGCTGCTGGATCTTGAGAGGGTATTCGGCGTGCGCGGGATAGTTGCGGTCGACGCAGTTCTTGGAGTAGTGCTCGGGGTTTTGGCGGATGTGTTTGATGTCGGGGGTGGGTTTGGGGGCCGTCGCCGGACGGATGAGGTCTGCTCGTCGGGTAGATGAGGAGAATGGACGACGACTGAATAGCCTGCAATTGATGCAGACGTAGGGGGTTCTTGGTGGAGCCATTGGTGAGGAGAGGGTAAATGGAGGGAGAAGATGGAGAAGGAAAATGGAATGAAAGTTGAATGTCGCGATGCTCGCGCGGCCGCCTTTCCCGATCGGGCGGTCGCTCCACAGGGTCACTGGTTTGAGGAGAGAACAATCGCATTGGCATGATATGAAGTTACAGAGAGGAAGCAGGGAGGTGGCTTTAGAAGAATTATAAGTGTGCTGAAGCGCTTTTCATTGAATGTGCATTGTCCAGAACTATCATTACTCCTGTTGACCGCTACGAGTACTATACTAAGTCTCCACTATATACTGGTTACTTGGAGTGTATTCCACGGTAGTACCAGGACAGTCTCGCACAGCATTCCACGGCATCATGGTCCATAACATCATGCCCCCCAGAGAGCCATAGCCAGTCTCCTTACAACCCCAACTTATGCTTCTTGATCCTCGCTCCCAATCCCAAGATAACCAAGACCGAGGCCACCAGCACTCCCCACAGCGGAATGCTCAACACGTTCAGATTGTAAGTAGTCTGAGTTGCCGCCGAGACAGTCGCCAGTTCCAAGAGCAGCAGCACATACCCTGACTTGCGATGGTACTTGTAGATGCTCTTGCCCTTCTCCACACTACCCAGGACCTGGACGGGGACGAAATATTGCACGACACCTACCAGGACCTGCAGGATGATGAAGATGTAGGTGATGAGACCGAGAATACCGTGCGGGGAGGTAAAGCGAGCATGATCGCCCTTGTTGATCTCGATGATGATGAAAGCGGTGATGAAGCCGAGGAGACTGAGGGTTTGGATGATGTAATGGATGATGGTTCCGAGGCGCTTTTGGTGAGGGGTGGTGGTGGGTTGAAGGATGAGAGTGGCTTGAACTTGAAGCAGGAGGGCAGCGGAGTTGAGGAGCTAATGAGGAATTAGTTTTTGCATTACTTACTGCGATAAAAATGGTGATGATAATCGTAGTAGAGTAGTGGTGATGATGACTTACGGGATGAGCGGAAAAGAATATCAAGGGATGAGATAAGATTCCCGTCCAGACGAGAATGGCCAGCTGAGAAAGCAAACAGTCAGTACGACACAAGAACTCCAGCAGCAACAAGGGTCTTCTTACCATCCAGATGCCAACTTGAGCTGCACTGGCTGTGCCTAATGGAGTAACGAGCATTAGCTGGGAAAGGATACAAATTTATCTCACTCAGAGGAATAATCAACTCACCCGTAAAGAGGTTTTGATAGATAGCAGCGTTTTTCTCCTGAGGAACATTTCCCGGGGTATGCAGCAGGGGCGCATCTTCCTGCTCTTGGATAGTGTCGGGATGTTCTTGGGGAATGCCCGTAGCGGAAGCCATGGTGTCTTGATACTACCAGATACTATTTGGATAGCATATAGTAGACAGTAGTATGATATATGAGGGAGAGAAGATCAGCAACGGGAGATGCGCAGCGGGTCTTTAAAGGCTTAAATGGGGACGAGAGAATGACGAATTCGGGGTTTCGGATTGTTCATCAAGTCAAAAAGTGGGGGAACCCGACCGGTGCCAATAAGGAAGCATCAGATTGCAATGCTTACGCTGGGGGCGTTTCCATGGATTGATAAGACAGTGAGTTAGTTAGCTAAGAAGTAACTAGTAGTTAGTCGACCAGTTGGTTGGCCCTAAGTATAGTACTGCTTTTAAAGTGAGCCACCCCTCACCGCTACGTTCTCGGGAAGGAACATCATACAATTTAGGTCGAAGCAGTGATATTTCTCTCTCTAATTTCATCTCGATACTACAAAAGAGTATCTTGCAAGATTCAGGGAGTATGAAGTTGCCAAGAATCTAGCACGAAATGACATGATGCGAAGGGTGGAGCAGAAGTGTGCCGATGAAGAAAAGAATCAGAGTCTTAAGTGATACAAAGAAAGATCAATCAGAGAGAACAACCGCCAACAAAGAAGAGCAGAGATGGTGCCATCAAGAGCAAACAAAGTATATACACCAACAAACTGACCAAGGAGTGCAACCAAAGGCTGGTACGAGCAGACTACTTAACAGCCACGCTTACCCTGGCCAGGGAGGGGTCGACGATGCCGCATTGGAGGAGAACGGACAACTCTCAAAAAGCGCTCATTGAGGTAGGGGTTGACTTCCGGCTCGTCTTGCTCATTGTCGTCCCAATCCTCAGAATCCCCTTCGCCGGATTGGGACCAGTCCTCTTCGTCGGCATCGTAACTTTCGTCATAGATGCCGGACCACTCGTCTCTTGGCTCACCGTTCGAGTCGTCCTCATCGTAGTCGCTGTAGGAAGACATATCCGAATCAGACCTCTCGCCGAAGAAGGGTGGAATGCCCCGATGAGTACTGGCCACAGCTCCATAGTCACTACTAGCTGAAGACCCAGAAGGTGACTCTTCCTCGACGCTAGAGTCGAACAGTGCCCTGGTCAGAAGACCTTCAGTGAGAGAGCTGGTGATACGCTCTTCATTGGTATAGGCAGTAGTACTAGCCAGGCCATCATTGGACCTATCATTGCCCGCGTTGCTTTCAACCTGTACGAGCGAGCCCTGGTCTGTCGTGACCGCGCGAAGAGATGTTTGAGCCGATTGCTCCTAAGGCAAATGAGAACTGGGATCAGGACTGGAGGGTGATGAAAGGGAATATGTGACGTGAAGGACTTACCGACTCAGCGGTGCTGCTCGTTTCAGACTGGAGATGTGTTTGAGCCCATCGCTTCTAGGGCAAGGGAGAAATGGATTAGGACTGGGGAAACATGAAAGGGGTGTGTGCGGTAGAAGGACTTACAGACTCGGTATCCGTATCCACTTCAGGACGAACAGACGCGTGTTCCAGTCGCTCCTAAGGCAAGGAAGAACTAGATCAGGACCGAATGGAGATGAAAGAGTATATGTGCCAACGGAGGACTTACAGTCTCAGTACCCTTGTCCATCTTCGGACGCAGCGGAGAGAGCACGGTTGGAGGGTGCATACGTAAATGCCACTTAAAAAGAGACAAGTCGATCGAGCAACCGACAATGTAGCCGAGAGAGCGATCGTGAGGGCAGCCCGGGGGCAATCGAGAGAGCAATCCACGAAGTAATCGACAAAGTAATCGAGAGAGTAATCGAGAGGGCAGTCAAGAGAGCATTCAAGAGAACCCCCAAAGGAGAATTCAGGAGAGCATCAGGAAAAGAGAGCGTTGAAGAGAGCCTTCAGCAACGCAACCAGGAAAGTAATCAGGAATGCCTAGGAAAGCGATCACGAGAGCATTCAAGAAAGCATTCAGCAAAGCTATCAAGAGAGCTTTCAAGAGGCAACCGGTTACAGAAGATCAGAAAAGCACCAGAAAAGCGATCAAGAAGCATTCCAAGAAGCAACTCTTCAGAGAAGAACAGTATAGACAGTATAAAACTGTGAGAAGATTTGGGATATAAACAAGAACACGTTTCCCCTGGATTCTGGGGGCCTTTATATACCCTTAGAAAGTCTGCAATCATCTCTTCGTTCACTGCAAGACACAGTGAATCACCCAGGTAATTAGCTTGACGACATCATCACTGCGTGTAACAAGAATAACACGGTCCAGGCGAGTAAGACGTGATATTATGTTCAAGGGCAGTGATTCGGTGTCGAGCCGCGGGCCCCGGCGAAGGGGCCCCGTCCAGGATGTGACCAACTGTGACCTAGGGTTGCAGTCTGGGATAATTGTTAAACACAGCGATATATATAGATGATTGGAATGATAGATGAATCTGAGCGGGAGAAGGGTGATCTTATATAGAGGAGAATGTGTGTTGAATTAACTGAACAGTGTAGGATTCTCCCGATTCTGCGAATGCAAGTTCCGTGGGTATTCCCCAGAGATCGGGATATTCCATAGTATTGACAGACATTAACTATGGGGGCCTTGAAAATACAGGACCATCACTCAAAGTTCACTTCCATATTCAGTCCTCTTTCCCTGCTCGATTGGGAATTGCGTTCAATCACTGGAAGGGCAGCTTCAGTAGGTCACTCTCCTCTCCGGAACCCGGTCGTCCAATGACCACCTCTGCGCCCAGGGTCTCCGGTTCCAGACGCATGACAATATTAAAGAGTGTCGACGACCGTGAGATTGGAGGCCTAGCCACGTCTTCCTGACAGGAGATTGACTGGGGTGCGTTGTAAGTATCAGAGAATACTCTTTCTCTGAGCACTTGCCCAATAATGGCATCCTCTTCAAGCACTTCATCCCTAATTAGCTCCCGGGTCAGTTCCCGGGCCCGCGCCAATCGTATCGGCGAGCCAGTCAACCATGGTGGCTCGTAGACAAATCGATTCTCTAGAAAGTGATTTGTATGTGCTACCATACCATATTCGTCCGGCTGAAGATGTACATCACCCAGGGGAGACAGCTCCAATCCCAGCGAGCCTTTACTATCAGCAATTAAGATGTGCTGGCTGGATCCCACACCTCCGAGGGACTTTAGCGTCTGCACTGCCTCATCGACCGAAGTGCTTTCCAGACAGAGCCGCAGAGCAACGTGAACGGGTATCTTGGATGGAACACAAGGATGGGCTCGGATAGCGTTGAGACAGGTCCCAACACAGGCACTGTTGAAGCCGATTTTACCCACGATGCCAGCCTACTGCACATTTAATAACGGATATTAAATCAGAAAAGTGACGACGTGCATATGGAATTTACACGAGAAGTGACTCACCTCAGTGACCATGTGAATGGTTGGTTTACCAGGCTGTTCGATCCTCATGAGCGCGATGTTTTCCCGTACCGTAGTGGTAAAGTCCCAGTTCTGGGCAAGGATACGACAGTGCTCGTTCCTCTTCCATGAAAGACTGGTGCAGCCATCTGTGAACTTGCCAAAAGTTAATTCACTCCGACAGTTCAGGGCCACAATGTCGAGCACATCCACCCCTGCACCCTCTGCAATGCCCTCCATCTCTTGGTAGAGGTGGGGGGTGGCGCGTTGAATTGTGACCGCGAATTGGTCTGCTTGCCGCCTGACTGCATCCCAGGACAAATTACAGTTCACCTGGAACATCTCTTCATAGATGGTAATTTGGCTGCTGATCTGCGGCCGAAGGTGGGAGCCATGATGGAAACCGATCTGCAGGCATTACGAGAGACTGAGTTACCAGGTTCAAGCGGTGAAAAAGTCCAGGGGGTTTTGCTGGGACCTACCTCTCTTGGGGTGCCGGTGAGCACCAGTCTGGGCGGCTCTTCAACTTTGGAATACATTTTGGGCAGATTGGCTGATGTTACACTAGCAGGGCGTGAAGTTTACTAGAAACTGGAAGGCTTGATGAATGGGCGGGGACAGGCCTCTTTTGTGAGAGTCCGTCTTATCTACACAGCGGGGTTGCATTGATAGGCTTATCGGCTAACAATGATGCTGCGGGGAAGTGGCAATCCTGCCATTTACCTCGGAGATTTGACAGATGACCACTCATGATGGGGATACCAACTATGGCATTGTTAGAGGTACCTGGTCAAAGAGATCCATCAATATCTAAACAACTGGGGTCTGCTTCGATCTCCACTAATTCAGCCCATCGGCTCCACTTGTCCGCCCCACTTGTCCGTTTGTCAGGTGGGTTCCCTCGACCGTTGGAACTATCCCTTCCCATAGAGCGTTCAACCATACTACTGGATTTATTGTTTCTTCTTAAATTGGTGAATAAAGCAGTACTCCAAACGTCCGTTTGCATGACCACTCAGAGAAAAGGAATTTGTCAGGCCGTTCACATGGGGATCAGTCAAGTAAGCATCGATCTAGCCTATCACTGCCGAAACTTGAGATATTGAACCTAATAACGAACTCACTAATTAAGAAAAAATATGTCTCAGTTGGCGAGATATTGCAGAGAGGAATAACTAATTCTGCTGCACATACTCCTTTTGTTGTGTACTAATTCCCACACTGCAACAAGCAGCCCGATGCAAGAAGAGGCCTGAGGGTTACATCCAAACCCCATAAAAATAGATCACTCCAGACCTTCCATACGCTGATCCCGCAAAGCCGTTAGCTCCGAATCCCGGCCGGGGATAGAGCATACTCAATTATGGAAATCTTCTGTGCCTGAAGTGAGATTCCCGTCTAGCCCAGTGGCCATGGTGTTCTGAACTGCAGGCTGAAGCCAACTTCCAACCACATTGACAACCTCTGCGCCACTGACATCAAAGTCCCCCATTCCAGCTAGCACGAAAGCTGACCTGAATTTCTCTTCGTCGGATTCCGCTCGATCCGGGCCTAGGATGGCCTGGGTCCCGCCTTGCTCTTGTGCCACCAACCCCAAGCCGCATCGCAATCTGCTCTAGTCTAGACCAACAGGAATACAGATAAACATCCTTGTCACAATGACCCAGCCCAGCTCTGATGATTGAGAAGCATTACTAGGGAAACTCCCGCGGTATCCTCCGTTCGTCGTCCACAGGGATCACGGCCGTGAGAAAGATACTAGACACGTTAGGACCGTCAACCCTGCAGCTGCATAGACTCCCGGAAGATGTCTCACAAGCTACACCAACCAAAGAGTAGTGGCCTTAAGCGACCGTCTGTAGGCAACCAGTCGTCTGTCTCCATTACCGACTCCTGACTGTTTCAGAAACAACAGGGTAAGTAGTGATTGGGTAGTACTAATCGTTGGCACAATCACTCCAGCCAGCCTTGACCTCCTCTTCTTCCCGCGTGGTCTCCGACCGCCACCTCATCCAAACCCGAACCCACCTTCTTGAGGGTCAAAATAAATTGGAAGACATATTTTCGACCTTTCTTCTTGGCACTGATTTTCACAGGATCTGATACCCTGCAGAATCACAGACCCATTTCTTCCATTGATTGGACGGGCCCTTGGGTTGAAGGTAAAGACTCACGCTAAGACATCTACAAGCTACAGTAGTATCCACTTAGCATACAATGGCACGAGGGGGATCATCCGCCGGTGACAAATAACTCAGGCAGGTGCTAGCGCCTCCGTTCAACTGTATAGTTTAGGTATGATGCGATAGATAGTCCTTGTGATATTCCTCTTCACTGTAGTAGTAGGCTGCCGGAGTATGGTAATTTGATGATAAGCCTAGCAGTACACTATTTGGTAAATATGATTCCACTACCAAATTATAATATTTACATAGATAGGATAGTACAATTATTACCACAGTCCAAGACAGAGTCCGCGATGAATGCTTACACCCCACACAATAACCAATTCAGCAACGGGCTGGCTAATGCGTAGCCCGTCCAAATCCAGTATTTGATGGACGGAACGTAAGTGAGCAGCTGAGCCGGAAACCTTAAAAAGTACCAAAAAAGTACTACCTGACACCGTCAATGATAGTATAAAAAAGGAATATCTTTATTAGGAAAACCTAACCCCGCGAATCAAGTACCGTATACCCACTCTAAGACTAAGGTAGTTCCAGCTATGTTCTGTGTAATGTGAGAATGGCTATTTAACCGCCACGGCACGCTGGTACAGCAAGTTGGGGGGTACATTGGTACTAAAAGCTTATGCATGTGCAGGGGAGGTTTTGGCCAATCAGTTAACGGATAATCAGTTAACGTAATGGCAAAAGGGACCGACTGCTAAGGCAGACTTGTCTACTTGAGCAGGTCTATACTATCTTAGTAAAATGCTGGTGGAGCCTGGCCAGCCAGTCAGTCAGCCCGGTAGAGTTTCTTCGTGCAGACAGTATAGAACGAATAGATTAATGAATACTGGTCACGACGGACTCCAGGGTCTATCGAGTAGTTCGGTTCGTGTGACCGGAACCAAGTTCCCTTCGCTGCCGAGCCAATCGATTTCATACGATAGATGTTTGCTGGGATGTTGTAGACGAGGAAACTCGGGTATTATCATTTTCTTCTGTACGAGGTTTGAGGCTGCGCAGTGTCTTGCTGGAGTTAGTAGGCTACAGAGAGATCAGCTGATTGTAAATTATCTTTGTAGAATTAACCAAAAGGGAAAAAGGAGGTTCTTGATTCCTCACCGCTGCAATTTGGCTGGGCCATTGGATGTCTGTGCTTGTGAGGTGACATCCGACCTACTACTAAAGTATCAAGCTAACGACTCAGCTGCTTCATCGCTTCGAGTGCGGCTATGATGGGGTCAGGCTAACCTATTCCATGGCTAGCGGAGACGTGCGGCCGTGCAGCCGTGAGATTCTGTCTGGCCAATGAGGGGTGGTGGGATGAAATAACGCCTGGGACTGGAACATGTTCTGGACTGGCAGTGTATGTCTTTCCCTGATTGGGTAGGGTAGCGAGTCCTAGTAGTAGGAAAGGAAATGGATGCAGGTGAGGTGGGTGAGGAGTTGATCGGCCTAAGCTTGGTTTGGATTTCGGGTGAAGATTGTGTTTAGACTACTAATTTGGTTATAGGAGGGATGGTTTTAGGTGGTATGGTATGTATGGTATGGTATGATTGAGCAGCGAAAGTCTCTCTAAGGACTGAGTGTCATGCTATTCTCGGTTTTTCTGCCTTTCTAGCTAGGTTGTGTCTTCGATTCTATCTTGTATCTTCTTTCCATCAGTTCGAGCCCCAGGAGTGGTAAAGGCCCCGTCTATATCTATCTGAGAATATCTATGCTGATTCTATCGATCTATATATACAAAGCTGACATCAGTCTATTTACTGAACGTCTCGATCGCGGTCGTGTCCACCCCAATAGTAATATATCCGATCAACCCCTTGGACAAATCGTCCTCATCCACAGGAATAACAGACACAACCGGGTTATATCCACCCTCGATATCCTCAGGGTACACCGTATCTTCAGCATTCGTGGTCCGGTTAATCTGCGTATGAGACACATAAGGCTCCATACTCATAATCTTCTGTTCAAGCTCTTCCTCAAAGTACAGCTGGCCAGTGCTGACGGTGTTACTGGCAATGATGGTACCATTCTCGCGAACAGCCCAGTCGGTATGGACTTGGGCGTGGATGTGGATGGCACGCTCGACGTAGAAGCCTACAATACATATCAGTAAGTACATGTAGTTATAGTGACAGTAGATGTAACTTACCTGGGAATATGGTTTTCATCTCCATAACGCCGTCCTCGTTCGTCGGCCACATACCACGCAGCCAGGTGGTATCGTCCGTGTGCAAGTCCGTGACACCCATGTCATAATCGGTAACATTCAACTCAGAGAGGAGTGTTGCGAAGGGAGTGTTGGGGGACAAGCCCGTGAACGAGGAATAGGAGCCCGTGGCGTTGCAGTGCCACAAGTCGAGGAGGGCGTTGGGCAACGGATCACATGTGGCCATGTCCAGAACTCCTATGTCGAGCCAGAGGGGCACACCTGGCTGGTCTTCGGCCATGTCTTGACGAAGGGTCTGGGAGCGAGGCCAGACATAGGGACCGCGGGTGACCTCTGGCGTGAGCACGCAAGTGTTGTTCTGGATAGACTCGTAGTACGGAGCCTCGGTGACTATCTCGAACGTAGTATTGTGGCCGGATCCCTCCCAACGCTTCTGCATTGCTCGCTTAGCCATGCGGCGCTGGTTAAAGCTTCCAACATGGCTGGCGCATCGCTTGGCCATGTCACTGCGCCGCTGAATCTCTGCACGGGGAAGGATGTCGTGTGGGCCAGGATGGGCAACTGCTGTGCCCGCCGCGAGGAGAGTAAAAATGAGCTTGGAAAAGTGCATTTTAAGAAATGATTCTAGTGGAGAGGTGCTGCTGGTCTGAGCGATATTGTTGACTGAAAAAGAGGAGGAATGGATGGCTTTATATAGATGCCTCTCGACTCGCTTCGCAGAGTCAATGCGAGGACATGACGATTTGATTTCCTCTCGTTGCTCTAAGCGCTCCTCGCTATCGAAGAGTGGACCGTAGTAGCCATCACATAGAGCACACTTGCTTGGCAATTTGCCAAACTTCACTGGACGCTCCGTTTGGTACCGACTTCTTGGCCATATAAACGGGGCAAGATGTCGCCATTACCTTGGCATTCATATACCTGGAAGGTATAGATCACCATGGCAGTCTCTTATCTTCACCGAATGTCAAAGCTGCATTGAAAGCCACCTGTCTTGGCTCTTCTCCCGTCGGGAAGCCGAAGTCTTGGCTTGAAACATTACACAATTATCGTAAACCGATATTGCAAATCAGGACTGGTGGTGAGAACAAGTAATGTGGAACAAGTCTCATGGCTAGGCTGCACAAATAAAAGGGTCAAGATTATTGGAGGATCGAGGGGGCTCTAAACTGATCGGCGCGCTGTTCGAACATACTAATAATTGTGGATCTTCAAAGATCCCGCTGATTCAGCAGTATCTCGGACTCTTCTGGGGATGAAGCTGCCGAAAGTGGAGAATAAAGAGTCGGGACCATGGGGGACGGAGTTTTCGGAGATGGCGAAAGCTGTATTGATGTTGTAGATGTGGGTAGGATAGCAACCATGGTCTGTAAGTGTCTGAGTAAGCGGAAGTATAAACGGCAAAGACAACTCCATTGTAATCCTTTGGCAGTATTCCCGTTCTAGTTTATGCCAGCTTTTGCTTTCTATGCGTAGTCAAAACGATAAATTGCGTGTCGTCATCTCTCTAGGTCGTTAAGGTGAGACACAATTCTCGAAGGGAGATAGATGGATACCATAGCTGTGCGGAAAGACTCACAGTTCTACGGTCCACTAGTCAGTCCCAGTCACTAGTAGTGTTCATCGAATGGCCCCTTTCTAGAATGTAGAGAATGAGATTTTCACTAGACATATGCTCGAGGTGTCAGCGGACCTCATCAGTCTCAATCCGCCATGAACCACTCAGGCAGACCCCGTTCGAAGCTAGAATGATATAACTTCAGCTCAGGCTTAGTCCCATCCCCTTCTTCTTTATCCAATTCACCCCTCAACTCCCACGGATAGTAAACACGAGCGCCGCTTGAATTCAACAGACTGGCTATATATCTATGACCTTTGCTTAGTGCCACTTGATACGCGGCAGCACCACATAGATCGGCCCGGGCACCATGCCTCAGCAGGAACTCCATCATTGATGAATCTCCCCGCTGCGCAGCCAGTTTCATGGAGCTGTCACAATCCGTCGCTCCTCCCCGCATCAGCATAAGCACAATGTCTTGTCTTCCATCTGCAACAGCCCGATATAATGGCGATGGATGATATCGATCTGGCTCCGCCCCTCGGTCCAACAAGATCTCCACGAGCTTTTCATTGCCGCACTGGACGGCCAGGAAGAGCGGTGGAACAGGTGGTGGAGGAATTTCAAGTAACATGTGCCAGCCAGAGATGTATTTAGCAATTCGACGAGGACCGCGATAAAAGTTCGGCTGTGCACCACGGTCCAGAAGCAGAACCATCATATCCTTTTGTCCGGCTCGAATACTTGCAAGTAGTGCGTTCTGTACCGTGAGAATGTCTTTGGTACTGTACCTCGCTGCGCGTAGTGGGTGACGTGCAATATCAGCCCAGCTGAACAAATGTTTCATATTCTCATCACCACTATCCACTGACTCCTCTGGGTCGATGAGATCGCAGTCATATTCATGATTGGGGTCAATTCTTCCTTCCCTGGAGAGCCATTCCCAATCACGTTCGGAGGGTGCCTGACGACGGGGTTTGCCCACAGCGGCTTTGAGTCCGTCGAGGAGCCTGCCAGCTAGATATAGGTCACCGCTTTCTGCAACAGACTTCAGAGCTGAAGCATGCAAGTAGCGACTGTTGTAGTCATAGAGTACATCTCTAAGGAGGCAATAGAAACGACGGTTAGTTCTCACAAGTGCGTAAATGTCCCGTTGACGGCGAAGGAAGGAGACAATTGTGAGGATAGTCTCATTTGGGAGATGAGTGAGGTGCATTGAGTAAGAGGCGGTCTAAGCTTGGGGCTGTTCGTAAGGTGGTATGATTTTCGGGATATTGGAGAGGGACAAGCGCTTATTTATGTTCAGCTGGAGACTAGCAACTAGTAGTTCACCCTTTACCAAAATAGGCATGTATGCGGGGTGGACGCATGATAAGACTAAACAGGTACTTTCTGTCGCAGACAAGCAACATGACCTTTGTCATTTCTATCGGGCTGACCGTCAATATTGACTACTCGAACTGGTTCAAATGACAGTTTCTCTGTGGAGCTTTCGGCCATCAGCCGTGCGCTGATCATGTCCTTGAAAGTAAGAGGCGTGCCATCAGCTATGATAAATTAGAGCATAACACTGCTATACTAGGTATGACAGAAATGTCACCAACATCCCCGTGAGTAGGGCTTCAGTTTCTCTTACAAAACCTAAGCTGATCAATCCTATCTCCTCTGACAGATGACCCCTGTCAATCTGACCAGGCCAATCTCTCTAGCGGCAACAGGACCAACAAACGTATCAGACCCAGTTGGCTTCAATACGGCCTGGTTGTGCAAACATACAGCGAGACATCTTCTGTAATAATCTTCTATCGCTCCTGAGTGGCTTTGGACAGATCTTTGATTTTGGGACCATCAACAATCGCTATAATGAACAGCTGGCCTTGGCTTTGTCTCCACGATCCAACCTGTTGATAAGAGCTAAGCTCCAAGTGAATCAGACGACTCGCTGTAATGGCGACTAGTAAACCAGCTTTGCCACAGATGAAGTACACGATCGTCAAGAAACCCAAGCTAGCTCGGAGCCATTTGATCAGTTATTGGCATTGGTCGAAGTTGAACATTGCAGTGCGAAATTAGGAAGGCCAACATCTTGTGTTGTATAGTTTTCTTCTCATCAGCGTAACCATTCCAGCGGTGATACGCAGGTTCTATGCGCAAGAGTCCTAAACCTCTATGGCTTCGTCATACGTGAATATGAAAAAGTCCGTTTTGCTCAATTTCCCGTTTCTGCTCATTCATAGACCTCAGTCCTTAAAAGCTTATGTCAGAGATCAAGAATAGGGAATATTGCAAGCCGGATCAATGGGAAGGCTTTGATGAACGTTGGAATACCGATCATGTGTCCGTCGTAGCTCCTTCCATTCTTGATTCATCCTCAGAAACTTCCTCCACGATCCTTCGAGCTTCACTTCTCTTAGGCTCTCCGACTCGCCAACATCATCAACATAGGACTGATAGCCTAAGTCTCGTCAGAAATCATAAGCAAACTGACAGCCTCCGATTTGCAAGGAAAAACTCAGCGATATCTTTTCAATTGAGTCACTGTCAGTTTCTGGTGGTGATACTTCTCCTGGCCAGAGACCTTGCGTTGACTGAAACATGACTTGCAGATTAGCTAATGATTGCTTTTCTGTTCGAGACCTAGGTCGAAACCAGTCGCCACGTCGTTAACCCCCTGGATATTACAGACCAACACTTCGTCCCAGGCCTTATCTCCGAAGGCAGCATATCATATACCCCAAGGCAGCAGTAGCTCTGTAAGGAGCGGGCTCCTCTGGTGAGAATCTCAACATGTGCGTGGTACAAGGCAGCAGCTTGGGCCACCACTACAATACACCTGGCGGGAATGGATAGCTGTGTAACGCAGAAAAGCCATTGTCAATGATTTAATCCGACAACTGCATCATTGTGAGACCCTGACATGCCCTTGATGCTCTGTTCTCATACTGGAGGCGATTCCTTCCATGGCAAGTCTTGCTGTGTCGTGCGTTCGACTGGGTCAAGATGTAAACTACGTACTAGGGAGGCCACGTCGATAATGTCCCCAGAAACAGAAGCAAGACTAGGACACCATGTTTCAGGAATGGCCGCTCTCTTTGCACATGGACTGGTCTTCGCATGCTTCATTGCCTGTCGCCTGTAGCCCAAAGGTGCAACAAGCCAGCTGCAGTGACGGTCGGGCAGTTATTGGTAGTCATGATGCTTATGCATCAAGAACTTGAGAGTGGCAGTGAACAGCAGTCAACACATCGAATAGCCAATATGTCTACTTTCGCGGCCCTACTGGCTGTCAACCGCTTGGAGAATTGGGCTTGGATGGCAGTCGTGATCATAAGTACCTGAAAGTGTCAATTTGGTGAGTTCTGATTGATAGTAGGCATGAAGGTATTCGTTCTTACACTTCCTCGATGCCATGCAATCGGCCTTGCATAGGTCAGTTCAGTGGCAGCAGAAATTAGCCTGCAGTGTCCGTATGACGGCATTCGTGGCTTCAATATTTGAAATTCACCAGGCATTTAGAGTTTCAGCAGGTTCTACTTCTCTATTCTGGAAGCCATGCTCCAACACTCATTTGTGTCACACTCGAAATATGGTCTGCCGCCCGAATCGCCCTACTACAATGTCAGACACGGGAAGCTAGAACCGGCTCTGTGCAATGATAGCTAAGGATCGTATTCTGTTCCCGAAACGAGCTACCTACAGTTCTCGTCAACCTTCTTTCATACTCCGACTACGACATTTGGTCCCGAGGCCTGATCATTCCAGCTTTATAGTGAGCTATAGATATGCAAGATTATAAGGTCTTGCAAATGCACGCAACAGAAGCCCCGATAAGGCAACTTCTTGTTGACGATCCCTGGTTACGGTGATTGTATCGGATATATTGGGGCGTGGGGGGTCCTATGCAATACCTTCGGACCAGTAGCTGTCGGCGACACGGCAGTGCATGCTGTCTCCCTTACAGTCATGAAGGTAGATTTGTTTACCGGTTCTGGAGACAGAAATCAGCCAACTCATGGCTTGCCAGCAGTTTTGTTCTGTTCTACTACAAGCACATCCCGGCCATCTGTTGAGCAGGCGACCAGACCAGTGTCGCAGTGTTGCTGGCCACCTCCTCTTTACTTTCGCCAATACGACGCTCTTGGCAGTATTGGGCGCCACAACGCATAGGCTGTATGGCGCGGATGCTGCTACTCTCCCTTCACGACGGCACAAGGCCTGTCCAGGCTTACTTGATCATCATTCGCGATGAACAGCCATGGTCGTATGATCCCAAACGCGTGAATCGCATACTGCTCGGCACGGTCAGAAGTAAAGTCAGAGAAGAGGCCTAGGCTTCTGACTACAACAAAAGGCTAAATAACATGGTGCAGATCTTTTACAGAAGCCGGTGTCAGACAATTCGAGGAGCGAAACCACCATCCAAGCGCCGATTGACGCAATAGTTTCGACTTAAAGTTCTTATCTGGGCATAGCTTCTTCAGTAACACCACAGATCTGGCCTCACCTTGTGTATTCAACAAGCACTTTCAGAGCCTCTACCGTTTCTCTAACTTAACCCCAGGCTACCATCATATATGCCACATTCACAAAGTCACATGCCACACTCATGCTTATGTGCATCACGTTCATGGGTTCAGTCTGGACAGTCCGATCTGGGCAAGCATCCAGGATCATCCGCACGTCACCATAAATTGAGCAACAAAAATTGTACATGATTGCCAACAGGGCCAAGCATCGCAAGCTCCCTGGTTTTTAGCCCTCATATACTTCCAGATGTTATTGCACTATACCGGCAAGGAGCCCGTTGGCAGCACCGATCCGCATGATCAACAGGCACGGGTGGGGGCATGAACCATGCATCTGGGTGCAGGGAAAGGGAAGCCGGTCTCAGGTCCATCGGGGCCAACGGCGTCGGGATATTCGAGTAGAATTAGCCGCCTTTTTTTCGACAAGCGGACCCAAAACAGCTAAAGCCCGTACTCGCTGCTTTTACTTAAAAGGAAAATAAATTGGTGATACTCCATCTCTGCACCGATCATGTACCCTTGCATTTGCGCTCAGATTCTGAAGCCCGTCATTCCCACGGAGCGTCACACAAACAACACACCCAGCGGCTACTTGCATACCCTCGGAAGGAGCCACGAATCGGGGATTATTAGGGGAAACAAGATGTCAGACAGTCCCTAGAGGCGACGAAGGAGTTGCCTTCCAAGACGCGGGTATCCCAGGTAAAATTCTGCGATTCCGTTGGCGACAGCGGCGCAGTCCCTTGGCAACGTTCAAATCTCTTTCGTGGCAAAGGGGTAGAGGAGTCATAATGAATGGGTGCATTTTGATCACCTATTTGTGGAAAGTGCCGGTTGCTTAGGGTTTCGCCTCTCAGGGGCGAGCATCTTCTCCCTCTTCGGCAGCCTTTGATGTCCTTGCTTGGGTGTAACAAAACGGGACGCATGGCCTCGGGTGCGGTCGCGGCACGGTCAACTGTCAGTAGTGTTCATGTGTGTTTGCATGTCACTACATATGCAAGCACCACACCAGAAACAGGGTCTAAGGATTGCCGTTGTCAGTGCGGCCTGGACTGCGTCTGGTACCTCGATACTCACCGACCTCTGCTGGAACCAACAGAGTACCCAGACAAAATTAGAAAGGGAAGAAAGTTCTGCAAGGCTCGGGCATCGCACTCTCCAGACCGCCAGTGGTTGCGCCAGTGTCATCCAGAGGGTTCCACAATCCATGCCAAAAAAGGAACGAACGAAGCCCTCGTTCGCCAGGGGATTGGCTTGCCGCGATCATCACGAGGTAGCCGACACAAACGGGCCGGAAGCAGATGGAGAAGACAGCACATACGGTGAAAATTTTTATAGCGACATTTGGTGATCGGTCATTGTTTTCTGTTTCGCAGCGTCATTGGCAACAGGTGCATATGATGGCATCGTTGGTATCACCTTGGTGGCTGTCACTGGATACCCTAGAAAAGCCGCAACGGAAGGCGAAAAACCAAGCTATAAAGGTCAGCGCGCCACGTCTCCCAGTTAGGAACCGCTCTGTGATTCTACCCTATAGCTGTCTTGCTTATATCTTCATGAGAAAGCTTATAGTATCATTCTGTCATAGTTTCCATTGGACATCCACGCGGACTCCTAAAGACGCACAACTCGCCTTTGCTGGCTCTGAGTCTGCGATAATCTTTACCAACACACTCGTTATTACCTCTGCGAAGGGATTTCAGCACAGTCATGCCGCAAAAAGCCGCTCAGCAAGCTGGGATTCCCGAAGGGCGCGGAGTCAGGTACGACGAGATCGATATGGCGCTCTTCCGCGCCAAGCTCTCCTACCATGCGACGGCCGAAGAGCGCATGGCGTCGCGAGATCCCAATCTCGTCTCTATCTCGGAACATCAAGCGCGATTGTTGAGGCTCTGGGAGATGCATCAGCACTCGAGGGAGGAAAAGAACGGCGGTAACATGACACCGGCCGAGAGGAACCAGCTGGCGCAGTTTCAATGGCGATACAAACGATTGGAGGACCTCGCCACGCAGGGCACGAGGTAGTAGCCAAGGACGATAGCAGCATCAACATGAGAGTTATTTGGAAGAGCGGCATCATGGGGCGTTTCGTTAGATGTAGATTCACGAAGCTTTTGGTTGTTGATTCGAGACAACCGGCTGTGGGTGTTTAAATGGCCCGTGAATCCTGGTTGTTGTTCTGTTTCTTGTTCTTATCCATGTCATTGATTTCCTTTTAGCCTGCTGGATACTTGCATCTAAACGTTATTTTCCTCTCTCGCTCTCTCTCTCTCTCTCTCTCTCTCTCTCTCTCTCTCTCTCTCTCTCTCTCTCTCTGTCTGTCTGTCTGTCTGTCTGTCATTTCATTGTTCTTTCTCTTCTCCTGTCGGGCCACATAGTACCCAACATTCGCTTGACCAGCCCTGTACGTACGCAGACCTCGAAGCGAAACACGTTCACGGCACTCCATGCACGCCATCTAGACTAGCCGCAGTAGCACCGAACTACCAAGTTAGCACCACCTCCCTCCCCCTCGACGTCAAGCATGTAACCCAACCCAATTCGATCAACGCCAGCCCCATTGCAACGGTAACGCGCCGTTCCCCGTCCAGCACAACCCACTCGTACGGGACACACAAGCCGTGGCGGTCGGTCGGTCGGTTCCAGGGGAACCAAAGAAGAGAAGAGGGGGAGTGGTGGGGGGGGGGGGGGGAGTACAATAGTCACCTCCTCACGTCGTACATTGGGCACGCGACAGCAACAACAAAAAGACATCAACTTTAATTATTGCATGCTTCCTATTGTTCCGCTGATTCCCATTGCACATGCGAGTGCGACTGCGAGGATGGGGTGTCCGAGAGCCGAGCGAGTCGGCTCCGTAGATCGATTCCTAGTTGACTTACTTATGCCCTAGTTGGGTTATTGTGTGTGTGTGTGTATGTGAATCTCTGTGCTGTCTCATTTTTCTCCGACCGGGTGTGTGTAGGTGTGAGTCATGCGTAAACTGTAGAGAGCGAGAGACGAGGACTATCCGGGTGTCTAACTAGATATTGAGTAAACTAACTAGAGAATGATGATGATGAACGAATTGAATTGTAATGCCCTCGGCTGTTACATAAAAGGTTGGGGATTATAAGGTGATGTGGTAGTCGGAAGAGGGCGACGAGGGGGTGTCGGAGAGCTCCGACCCGGTATTAGGAGGATGTGGAGTTTTGGTTTACTTTGGTTCTGGTGGGGTTGGAATTTGGGGGAACCCGGTTTTGATGGAGAAGAGAAAGAAGTATTGGGATAATTGTGGTGGTGGATGTGTGAATTGGACTGAGTTGGGTTGGATTAGTTCGAAGATGCTGGTAGAGGGGTAGATAGAGGAGGAATGGAAAGGCAAGGGAGACGGGAGTATGTAAATAATAAAGTAGAATAATATAGGATGATAGTAGAAAGAGTAGATAGAAGAGAAAGAATGAGGGGGGGGGGGGAAATTGCGGATGAAGCGATAAGATCGAGTAATCGGCGGGGCAGAAACTCTTATCAACTCACATACTTGATTCTACTTAAACCTCATATATTCCCTCCTCCCTTCACCTCTTTCTTTCTTCCCTCATAACCCACTTCTCTCTCTAAAAGCCCTTCTTCTTTCAAATACCATCACCAACAAATTAACTCTATCATATAACCAAAAGAAAAAAAACTTCCTCACCATGTCCTCAGATTACATCCCCGCCGACCAAATCGACTCCACCTTCGCGCACACCACCAACCTCGCCTCCTCCGCCCTGAACAGCACCATCCTCTCCTGCTCCAACGAATACTTCGCCGCCGCCTCCAACCTCCTAACCCCCACACCACCCATCAATCGCCCGGGCGTCTTCGTCCACACCGGAGCCTGGTACGACGGATGGGAAACCCGCCGTCACAACCCAGCCCCCTACGACTGGGCCGTGATCAAGCTGGGCGTGTCCAGCGCGCACATCTACGGCGTAGAAGTCAACACGGGGTACTTCATCGGCAACTACGGCGAGAAGGCCTCCCTGCAAGCAACCTACGCACCCAACACGCCGGATTCTGAAGTCGCGGACGAGAAGTACGCGAACTGGACGACGATTCTCCCGCCTGTGGAATGCGGGCCGTCGCAGCGGCGCGCGTGGAAGCTGGATCCCGAGGTGCATGGCAAGGCGTTTACGCATGTGCGGCTGTTGATGTACCCCGATGGTGGGTTTGGGCGGTTGAGGGTGTATGGGAAGGCCATTCCGGGGGATGTTAAGGTTGAGGGAGGTGAAGAGGAGTTGAGTTCTGCGTTGGTGGGCGGTGTGGCGCTGGCGGCGTCGGATCAGCATTTCACTCCGTGTTCGAATTTGTTGTTGCCCGGTCGGGGTAAGGATATGGGGGATGGATGGGAGACGGCGAGGTCGAGGGCCAAGGGTCATGTTGATTGGGCCATTGTGAAGTTGGGGTTGGTGGGGAGTGTGAGTCGGGTGGTGGTGGATACGAAGGATTTTAGGGGGAATTTCCCTAGGGAGGTGCGCGTGCATGGGTTGGTGGAGGGGAGTGTTAAGGATGGGGAGGAGCCGAAGCATGATCATCCCGGTTGGGTCGAGTTGGTCAAGGGCGATAGGCCTTGTCGGGCGGATACGGAACATGTCTTTGAGGGTCAGGATTTGGCGGCTGGTGGGGAGGATACGAGGGCGTTTACCCATGCTAAGTTGACGTTGGTGCCGGATGGAGGTGTTAAGCGGTTCAGGGTGTTTGGAAAGCGTAAGGCTGTTGCTGCTTAGATATGATATGAGATGTAAAATGGGTACTTAGTTACTAGGATCACCAAGAATGAACATCATGCTAAATAAATCTTGAAAACTGAATTCTTGCACCGTGATATAAATCTCTAAATCATCCAAAACGCCAGACCCTGGTATTCTTCATCCCCTCGTAGACTCAACTGAAAGGAGATGGAAAAAATCACGGTATCACCAAGACATACAGATAGCAAAGTGCACGCGAGCCAGAGATATATATGATAGACAGAAACAACGCCGAAGGAGACATCACTATAATCAACACACGCATGATAAACATCATTGTCTTCGATAAACCTGGTACTGCGTCGGTCTGCAGAACAGCAAGAGTGAAGAACAAAAGAAAGCATGAAGCACGAGTACATCGGACAGACGAGGGTAACCAAAATGCAAGAGACCGGGAATGGAGCCTCCACTGCTGGTATCATCAATCATATGCTTCATCATCATCGCTTAGAACTGAAAGGACGTGAACCAGCAAGACAAGGAACGATGCTCAGCCCGTATGCTTTTCAAGGTATAACTCGCAAAGTACAATCTAGACTGAGCAGCGCAGCAACATCGATAGAGAATCGCTCAGAATATGCAGGGTATCACAGGTGAGTCACTGACGGAAGCAATCGTCTAGGGTCAGTGCTGACTCAAGAGGAATGGCAAGAGCTTGCCATCGTAGAGGTTAGAAGGAGCCACCACGACGCTAATTATCTATAGGTTGCCGCTCTTGCAGTTGCTTATCTTCTTCAGGCGTCAGAGCGGTGGCTTGGCCGTCAATATTAGGCGACATGGAGTTGCTCCGTGGTGTCCCTGCCTCAGTGCTTACACTTCCTCGTTCCCGGTTCACCAGCCGCGTCCTTGTGTATGCTGGCACTGGTGCAAGGTATTGGTCAAGCATCTCACTCAAGATAGTAGATCGAACCGGCTTGGGAAGGTAGTTGTTCATTCCGGCACCAAGGCACTTCTCGCGATCTCCTTCGATGGCACTCGCCGTCATGGCTATGACCAACACTTCGTTGACATTGGGATCTGGGTCTTTTCGGATCTCGCGAGTGGCATTGTAGCCGTCGAGAGTCGGCATTTGTACATCCATCAGGACCACATGGAACGGGTTGCCTTCACGAGATCTTGTTCGGAGAGCTTCAACTGCCTGCCGCCCATCACTGTACGCTTCGCACTGGAGATTGAGCCCCTTGACGAATTTGACCGCAATCTTCTGGTTAATAGGATTGTCTTCAGCGATACAGACTCGAATCTGATCCCGGGGCACCATGGTCAAGTCTCGAGCAGTAGGAACCGGAGCTTTGTTCTCCGCCTGATTGGCAGCCTTGTTTTTGGCAGCTTTAGCGGCAGCGTCTTTCACCTTGTTGAATGCCAGATGGAACGTCACCGTAGTTCCAACGCCTGAGGTCGAATCCAGCCAAATAGCACCGCCTAGGACGTCCTCAATAATTGCCTTGCAGATACTCAATCCAAGCCCACTACCGCCATATGACCGCGCCGTGGAGTTATCGGCTTGCGAAAATGGCCGGAACAGCCGGGATTTTTGTTCTTCTGAGATTCCAATACCCGTATCGGATACAGAGCACTCTAAACGGACACGACCCTTGCCTTCCCTGGAAACTTTGGCTCTCACAGTCACGGATCCCTTGGGAGTGAACTTGTAACTGTTACTGAGAAGATTCATGAAGATCTGATGCAAGCGAACAGGGTCTCCGAGGACCACAAGTTCTGGTGGTACTTTGTCCAGATCCTCGATGGTCTCTAACCCACGATCACGATGCGTATAGCGAAGTGCGCGAACCACCTCCGAGATTGTTTCCCGAATGTTGAGGGGTACGGTAGAGATCTTCATCTTGCCTGCCTCCAACTTGGAGAAGTCAAGGATATCGTTGATGAGTGTGAGCAGCGTGTCAGCGCAGACACGGATCGATTCCACATATTCGTCCTGCTCCCTGTCCAACTTGGTACCCTTGAGGAGTTCCGACAAACCAATAACGCCATTCATCGGTGTGCGCAGATCGTGAGATATGTTAGCCAAGAAGATGGACTTGGCCTTTGCTGCATCTTCTTTCAGCTTCACGTTATGCTTTGCTTCAGCCTCGGCCACTTTAGCCTTCTGCTCCGCCTCGCGAGCCTGGGCAAGTGCGCGCTTTTGAGCCTCCACCATAGAAGCGTTGGTAGCGCTGACCTTGCGCACTTCGCGGAAGAGCAACGCATTGGAAAGCGAGATACCAATTTGGTTGCAAAGCAAGTGGAGAACCACAACATTCCGCTGGGTGAATGAATTCGGTTTGCCTTCAATATGAATGACACCGAGCAGATGCTCGGCCTGCATAATAGGCAATGCGATCACGGACCGCCCAAGGGGATACCTGGCTTGGTAGCCCTCATTGACGTTCGAGAAACGCTCATCCTCCAAAACGTTGTGAACCAGAACTTCCTCCCTAGTGCGCATGACGTAGTGAGAGATCTGATGCGCCATCTTATCCTCGATTTCGGAGAATGGAAGGCCATCCACGAAAGACTTCTGTCCTTTCTCCAGGTCCCCAGCCGCAGCGACCGTGAAGTTATTATCGAAATTGGTCGCAATAACCGCAGAGTCTGAGCCATTGCAGGATTCCAGAACGATTTCAATCATCTTCGTCAAAAGTTTGTCGATCTGAAGCTCCGAGGACATCACTTGACTAGATTCGAGGATACTTGATAAGTCGATAATATCTGTTTCATATTAGAACGGCTCAGAATACGAGTGAAGCGCTGTAGCTTACCAAGGCCGACGCCAGATATGTCGAATGAACGCTCACCCGTAGTAACGCCATTTTGTTCTATCCAGCGTTGTTTTCTGTCATCTTCTTCCATATTTTGTGCTACTCCCATGTGTTCTTGGCCGGTATTGCGATTGATTCCGAGCAGCGAGTCCACGGTTTGACAGCCAGCGTCAACGTTCCTCGAGGATGTGGCGGTTTTCAATAGCCATTCATGCTTCTCGGTCAGCTGCGCCGCCTTGCCCACGGCGCTTATCGCGGCCCATGCGGCAATTGCGTCTTGCATGACAGAACGCGCCGCCCTTTTGGCACCGCGACGGATCAGGAACTCTCCTATTCGAAAGTTAATTTGGGCCAAGACGTGGGGGTAACCCCTCCCCCAAAGCATTGCAGTTCGGGATGTCGGTGTACATACCATGCAGTTCTAAAGCAAGCGCTTCCTCCAAGGGCCACCCATGGATTTGACAATGATCGATTGCAGCCTGGCTTGGTTAGATTCCCTCCACAATGTATCCAGAGCAATTCTGCAACTTACTTCGAAAGATTGAATTGCAGAAGTATGGTCATTCCGAACTTCGCATATTAGTGCCTCCAATATCAAGGACCACATTCCGTAATTGGCATCGCAAGCACTCCGCGCGAAATCCACTTCGGCTTTATACTTTAAGACCGTATGCAAGCTTCCATCAAGATACCCGCGGGCAGGGTACTCGTTGTGGAGAGTCAAAAGAGAAAGGGCGAGATAGAAGTAGACTACGTATGAAACACGAGCAGACCACAGCCTGGGCATAGTCTCCATCATCTGCATACCCAGCTGTATAGCCTTAGTATGATGTCCGTACGCAAATAGCGGAATCATTGCAAGACCCCAGTAAATGTCTCGCGGGCGATCGGCGTTGCTGGCATTGTTGTCCAGGAAAGCGATGTACTCGTTCGTGTGATGGTGCTCGTCGGACATAATAGTGTCAGGAGAACGACAGGCCGTTTTACCTTGCAAAGCACGCGCAACTTGTCTGCAGGCAAACATGTTAGCAGGTGACATTTTCTTCCCTTCCGAAGGTATCCAAGACGTCCTTACCTTACTGCAAGCAGACTAGCACCACCACGAGTATCATTGACCCAGTCGGGAATATCTTCTGGGCTTTCGTTGCAGAACGCCTCCACCTGCGCCATATCATGGCCTAGATATAGTCTTGTCATCGCCATCGAAGACAAACTGATTAAGGTGATGTATGGATCGCCCATCGAGAAAGATGTTTCCACAGAGGCCTCCAGATTTGGGAGTGTCGAGGACAGCGGAACGCGCAAGTGGCCGACGTAAAGGTTATGTACAATAGAGCCCCGGCTTTGAGTCCACTGTTCAGGACACCGCTCAAGGAGGGTGAGCGCGAAATCGCTCAGCCTCACGGCGAGCTCTAGGTCCCTAAATCGGCTGAACGATATCATCGCGAGGTGCGAACAGCCGATAGAAATTTGCACAAACCCGCCTTTGAAGAGATGTAGGTTCATCATCTCAATGGCCATCCGGTAGAATGTTAGTGCATCATCCCAGTACGTGACAGCCATCGCCTCAGCCATGACCTCTCCAATAGTGATCATGTCGACATCCTTGCTGACGGGCTTACGGACAATAGCTTCCAAGTCCGCTTGCTCGAGGTACGCGCGAAGATTACGGTAGGCATCATCGCATTCATCGTAGGTCGTAGGCTCTCGTAGATGCACACCAAGCTCTTCCAGACACGTAAGGAGTGAATCCATCGAACGGAGGTGGTTACCCATCTGAGCGTAGATCTTGGCCTTCACAATCCAAGCTCTTGATTTGCAGACGGCACTCTTTCCATGTTCGAAGACTTTATCAAGCAGGTCCAAAGCTTCCGTGTTATGGCCTTGAGACCATGACATTTCAGCCGTAGCAATATGCAGACGCAAAGTCTCCCGGTAGTACACATCAGCGTTATTGTCATCCCAAGGATTGTCTTGAAGGAAAGTGATGCAGTGCCGGAAGTACCAAAGCGCTGTTGGACGCGCACCCGATTGCGCAGCGGTTTGCGCCGCATCCCATAAGATCTTTCTATATTCAAGTCTCTCTACGACACGAGACTTGATAATCCGAGACGCCAGGGCCACATGTCGTGCCATTGCGTATCGACTGCGGCCATCATGGTAGTACTTCATCATTGCCTGGGATATGATGAAATGCATTTTTTCCACATTCCGTCCCTCTGTCAACGAAAGAGCCGCTTGCGAGAAGCGATCATTGACAAATCTGAAACACTGGTTAGTGGATACAAATATGAAGTAAACCAGGAGCACCTACCTAAATTCATCGTCCGTCTTTCCCGGGATGATCAGGTTTGCTTGCACAAGATACTGCAGACCGACAACCATATCGGCTTCAGTTTGTCGGATCAAATTTGCATTCTGAGGACAGGTAAGGTCTACCGCCTCATCGTCCTCGCTGGAATACAAGAACTCGCTTGTAAGAAGTTTTTGTACTAGAGAGAAGGCGAACGGGCTTCCTAGCAATGCGCCCCAGACCATGATGGATCTGGCGGCCGGAGGAATTTCCTGGAGACGCCTTGCAATGAACCCTAGCCCAAGCCCTTCGCCATACCTAGGAGCCACAAATTCGGTGAAGATCCGATCCAGGTCGAATTCCCACACAGAATTTTTCCACGAATACCAGATACAGTTTTTGCTATAGCAGGTTTCGAGCATCATTCGAACAAAGAACGGGTTTCCCATGCTCTTTTCCTGTATGACAGCAGCAAGCGGAGTTAACATCGGGTTGGGTTCCTGATGCATTGTAGCGGCCACGATTTGCATGATCTCTTCCTCTCCAAGAGGCTTGAGAACAACGCGCGTCACACTCGGATTCTCAGAATCGAAGAGCGGCCTGATTATGTTCGATTCCAGCTCAGACTTCCGGCTTGTGAGTATCAATACACATGGAATTTTAGCTTTCACGATGTTCATGATCAACTCCAGGGTCTCGTCATCGGCATAATGCAAATCGTCCACACAAGCGCAGATCAATCGGTACTGGGATAGAGTCCGCAGTATCTCCAAAAACGTCTCCATCAACCGCATGTTCTTCAGTGCGGCATTAGATAGAAAGAAGTCCACAGAGCTTTGACCATGATCCAGACTTGGAAGTGCAACGCGCTTGGATGGTTCGCCCTTGGTCGAAACCTCCTTAAAGATATGTTGCGCTGCCGAAAGTCTGGGCGAAATTTGTCTTTCATTTCCTCCTGATGACATGAGCTGCTCCGGGAGTTCCAGCACACGGTGTAATGTCGGCCACATTGGTCTCAACGCAGTGCGGATGTTATTGTGGTATTCAGTTGTCACATCGCGTTCAGAAAAGATCTGGCGGAGAAGGCTGGCCAGGATTTTGGCGAAAGGTTCAAAGGGTATCCGCCTGGCACGATCCAGACGGGCGATACCGATATATCCAAGTTTACGAATTGCGGGCTGAACACGGTTCAAAAGGTCGGTCTTTCCAATGCCAGCTGCACCGCTTATGGTAATTACTTCGCACTTTCCGGGGCGGCGAACCTTGTGTGCAGCCTTCGCCCTGGCAACAGATCCGATAGAATCACCATGGCTCTGCGTGCTTGTTCCAGCAGAAGGATGGCCATCTCTGTCTACATTCTCCCAGGACGCGCGAGACTCCACAGGACTCCTGGGTTTTCCTGACGAGTCTCCGGGTTTAGGAGTTGAAGGAGAAGAATCAGTGCTGTGCAGAGATTCGTGCGTAGATGTGCGTCCTATGTTGTAAGCGCCACCGTTGGAAGCTGCCCTGGACGCAAGATTGAAGGAGCCTGAGTCGCTCGAGCCAGATGCAATCTCAAAGCTATCAACTCGGCCGTCCGAGACAGAAGAGTTGGATCCTACTCCACTGGATGCCTGAGCAGCTGCTCTCGCATACGCAGCTTGCTGGCGCCTATGAACCTTCTCGACGACGTTGATTATCCTGTCATATTCCTCTCCCCGCCCAAACATGCGAGAGGGAAGCGTGAAGAAGGACGACACATCACGCTGAGCGATCTGGAAGTCTTTCAATGCTTCACTATCACCATCCCCCAGCAACTGAGAGATCTGTGCCAGATCTCGCTTGACAGATGAGATGGTGTGGTAGCGTTCATTGACAGCTTTCTGTGTCATCTTCTGGATTACAGCTGACACTGCGTCGGGGACATCCATTCTCTTGGCCGAGAGCGGTGGTAGCTTCTTTCCTAATACGTTCTGTACGACTTCAACAGGGTCGCTGCCCGTGAAGGCCGGTTTACCAACCAACATCGTCCAGAAGAGCACGCCCAAAGCATAGATGTCAGTTCGACTATCCGGTTCCGTAGGCATTCTTCCCGTTTGTTCCGGAGCGATAAATTGTAGCTTATTCTTGACACCAAGCTCCTTTGACAGGGATGACCAGCCTTCGCTCAGGATGTTATCGAAAGACCTAGCACCATTTCCCGTGTTGGTAAGCTTCACAGACCCCGCCTCTCGATTGAAATGGAAGGCATCCCCGCGGATTTCGCCGTGTACCGTCTTGAGGCCGTAGTGTAAAAGCTCCAAGCAATCGCAAGCACCAATCGCAAAATCGAGAAAAGTGGAAAGAGAAACTTGTTCTCCTGGGGTCGGCTCATTGCTGTCAGTCCTACCACCGGCCGCGAACCAGGCAGGACCAAAAGCGACCATTTCTCGCAACATGTTCTGGCCGGGGGATTCAAAGATAGCCACGAGGAGAGGGCCTGCATCACCTGGGTCAGAGGGCAAGCGTATAAGGTCTATAGGGCGTATAGTATGGTTGCAATCTGGATCGGAAGTCTGCACGATAGATCTGAGCATATGGAACTCGCGCTCCAGCCTCACAACGTGAGACGAGACTCGCGCTAACACTGGAATCCATATTGACTCGTGATCCATGCGAGAAAGGGAGAGCTCGCTACTGGATTCGCTTAGGCTGCTTCTCCAGTGATGCCGAAATGGAGGGCGGGACTCGGTTCGCGGGGAATTGCGAGCCAGGCTAGAGGGGCCCGACGAGGTCGCGGCAGGTGTAGAGACATCTGACTCTGCGGCATGTCGGAGGCCAAAGACATGCCAGTGATTATATGTCGAATGAAACGGCTCGATAGTCTGATCCCATGTATATCCAGGCAGATGTCCCAACCTCTCAAAAAGGCGTGCCGGTGGGAGTGGCAGGTCGTCACCCAGTATATGGCTGTCCTCCATCTCCACCAACACTTATCGCGGAAATCCTGAGTATTCGGCCCCTCAGTTGACGGCCATAGATAGCCGGTCGGTGGTGAGTAGTCGCAAACTGAGATGGCAAGGCTGTTCGGACAGGGGACCAGGAGGCATAAGGACGAAAACGGTTCAATCGCCAAGCAGGGTGGAGAGGGCGAGGCGCTGCCCCCTCTCGAAAAGGTTCAGGGTAAGTCGGGCAAAGGGTTTCGATCAAATGCGACAAGGGCACGGTCGGAGGGGGCGAAGAGAGCGATCAGACGCGATTCGGTGAGCTCAGCGTGGTCAGGACACAGCTGTCAGCATCCCCACCAGTCAAGGTGAACGCGATCGCAAGCGAACAATGGGGAATCAGCTCTTTCGAGGCAAGAACTCTGGTTGGGTTGGGGCCTAGGGAGGCCTGAGGCTGTAGATTTCCTGAATAAGCCGTTGCCTTAGTCAGCTGCCGTTGGGCATCACGAGGGAGGATGATGGTGGAAAAAGCGGGAGATCAGCCGTCGTGCTTTTGTTCTCGAAAGGGTGGCTGCACGAGTTGCGCGCCTGTGAGGTGACCTTGCCGCCTGAACTTTATTAGGATTTTTTTTTTCTAATTTTATCATCACCCTGCAAGTATTGTCATGGCTGCATTTGCAAGGAAAGGGGCTCCCGAATTTTATCAGTATGGTTATCTTTCTTGATAGCTTTGTATGTAGCACAACATGGTGGGCTGATGTTGGTTTTCCACCTTTCCCTACTACTATCATGTGGAATAAACAACCGCCCGCACTCAGCTTACTACTATGTTTAAAGGCGACTCTCAATGAGTAGCAGTCGCATGCTAACGATCCTATCTTTGATATATATCTCTTGAGTGGTAAATGGGTCATGCGATTGTTGTATTACGAAATATAGATATCTCTTATTGTGTCATACAGAGTTCAAATCGACGTAACTCTCTCCAAAGCGGCGCATACTGTACCTGAACTAGTCTCCAGCTGGGCTTGCCAAGCAATGGATACCAGCACCACCCGAGAACCCTCCTGTACACCGACAAATTAGGATAGGGGAGTGACATAGCTTTTTATCCCGATGTACTATCTATCAATCAATCATCTGGAGGCGGGGGTGGAGGGTGTGACAATGCCATCATTGTCATGTTAGTTCAGGGGAAAATTGATTGCATCGCCACTTCCCCTTACTTGACAACGTCAATGCAGTATCCCGACCGGGTAAATGGGCGACTAGTAAATTTCTAAGAGTCACTATCTTAATAGTCCGGGAATTACGTGCTATTCTTGGATAGTAAGTAGAAGCACTTATTGAGAATGATCACCTGGAACCACAGAACTCTCAGCCGAGTCAGAAAAGCCAGTCTGACAGTGTTGTTGGCCCCTACTTAGTACTTACTACTGACAGTGTGAAGTGAGGAATGTTGGTTCATTAACATGTAACCGATCTTTGAACGGTAAGAAGGGCCTAAATTTGGTGCCATGGTGCTTGGCGGACTAAAGAGAACATCCTAGGTTTGAAGGATCTTCCAGAAAATTCATTGTGGGACTAGGAAAATAGTAGCGTTAGGTTAATAGTAGCAGTTGTTCTGTTTTGGCCCCTTAAAATATATACTAACTCTTCCCAACGTCTTTACCCCACGCTTCGTTGTCCAAGTAGTAATGTGAAATCCGATGAAGGATAAAGAAAATATATTTCAAATCAAATAAATATCAAAAATAAAAAAAAGAAACAGTGACCATGTTTGTTGCCCCACGCAGACATTTAGTGTATAAGCCAAATAAATCATGATAAGAACAGAGCGACTGGATCTAATGTAAGACGGAATCCATTAATTATCAGAGGTTGCAGGGTTCGTTCCCGCTTATCCCAATATGCGGTGAGCACCATCCACTCAAAAACAAAACCCTTCCCCAGCTCAATTACGGGAAGACAACAATTGATTAGTTCTTGGGGCGAATCATCTTGGGCATATTACACATCTCTTCATCTTTCATAATACCGGTGTTAACGCGTGACTTTGATGGTCAAATACACCATATCTCCGGAGGAACTTCTGGCTGGATTACGCTTGGAGTATATGGGCCTGGTGAGTTTGACAAAAGCTTCATTTGAGCCTTTCGAGGACGCATTTTGTTTCGGGCTGAGTATTTGGTTTTGTGATATGTGCTTTTGGAATTCAGCAAGATCATGCACGCCATCGCTGCTACCAATGGGTGCATAAATGATCCGAGATATATATGGAATACCACTGGAAGTCACTGAACTACTGGAAGGGAAACACAACGCACGCTAATCAAGACTAAAGACCGAAGACATTGGCATATTCTCCAATAGAGATTAGAGCTTACGTATGGGAATTAAAATCTAAGAGCTGAAGATTATAATCGTCGAGCATAACCCCTAAGCAAAGCTACCTCAGAGTATACAGTAGGATGTGTCGGCCAAATGGAGAAATCCGCATGCCTGATCATCGGATCCTTTGATAACTGGCCCAATGAAAACGATCAATGGGTAAGACATATGCTGCTTAATATGGATGTAATTACGTACACAGTAGTTATATTTCCAGGTCCACAATATGAGTGAACTTAAAGCAAGATTCGAGTTGAAACTACACACCCAGGCTAGTCCAATCAAGACCGGTCTATTGAATAAGTCTATAAAAGACCAATAAAGTGATAACGCAGAATCGAAGTACTCAGCCGGATTCTTGGGACAGCTCTAGCGGGCATGGTTAATTTAGAATGCGAGAGACACTGGTGCTCACTCGCCCCTGTAATAGTGATCAAACCCTTCTGCAAACCCAATAGGTCATAATTCGGTCGATTTTGCTCATTATGCAACATTTGCGTACCATCGTAATACTATGATTTATGATAGATTGGCACTGTTCACCTACACACTGATTCAGTGGACTTTACTGGATATCCCAGCCTACGATATGGACCGACCTCCTATTAATCATGTGTTGGTTGATCTCCACCAGCTAACGGTGACGGTGCTTGGCGGTGACAGATTAACTCAATTCGAGAGTCCCGGGCATGATATTTGTCTAATTGAACTCTTTTCTTGGGCGGAGGACATATCTCAAAGAATCATATAAGACGACTCCTACCTGTAGCTCATTGGGTCATGTGTGACGTATTTGTAAACAATCTCAACGACCATAGAATTGAAAGGAAACAGGCCGATGGAAAATGAATAATGTAAGTTGGACAAACTAGAGTTCAGTAGGAATGCGCAAATTGTACAAGGTTTGAAGGTAGCGTGGCTCTAAATCTTTTTCCAGAGTATAGACGGGGAGACGTGACACAAGTACGTAGCACCTAAGCCGGCTAAAAAAGGGTAGGTGACGAGTTTGTAAACTCTAAAAGCTGTCCTCATATAAGGAGTATTTCAATAAATTAGATTGGATCGCCTGACTCCTGTACGAAATTTGTTAGGAGAGAGATGGTTCGGGGATGGCATCGTCAGGCATGCGGCATGTCTGACCACACTACCGATAACCGAATTAACTATTTTTATTAGTTAGGGGGGATTAGTGGTGAGGAAAGTGGTGACTGGTGACATGGATGGGTTATCCGAGAAGAGAACCAGCCTCTCCCGATTCGAATATCCATGGATGGACATGGATGATGTTGCTCCAATCACAGCTGGCTACCCACCCGGAATATGTATGGGGTACAGGATTGCAGAGCTAATGTAAAATAGTACCTAGTCAGGCTCCGTACCCATGGTCCTACCCGTAGACAGAACGTCCGATGTCGTCATCTGATGCGAGCCGGAGCGCCTATCATCACCATGATCGTAAGGGGTGTCCATAAATAGGTCCCTAACGGCGAACATTCCCATGCTTCGACACAATTCATAGTCTCTCGGTTCCCCGACCGTGCCCATCGAACACTCTCCCCTAGCGAGGCTGGTTGTCTTGTCGATTTGGGTTCTGCCGTCCACAATGGTTTTGACATCTGGTGCTTTCTATTTTTGAATTCAGCCCTCCACTGATGATGATGTATGTGGCCACCTCTTTTTTCTCCGCTACCCCTGGGTGCTCTCCAATTACGGAGTAACTATGGATGGTTGACGGAGAAAAGAACATCTGTGCGTGGTGTTTATTGAGAACCCGTGGTTTTTCCGCCCTGTGGTGCAGCCTCCCCCCGCTAGACTGTGTTAGGACTAGCCTAGCAATAAGGCGACGAATCTCTCGGCTAGAGTGTGTTCAAACAGTTTGTAGCCTTTTGTTAGACCATTATCGATAGTATAATTATTGACATTACGCGTTGACATATGGAGGAGAAATTCTACTAGAGTGGACTATGTCAGGTGAAATGCTAGACACAACTATCATGATATCGCTAGCCTGAAGAAGGCAAATCGTTTTCATTTTACGGGTCACTACTGCCGGAGCAAACAACTCATCGAGATCGAGGAACATGCTGGTTCTAGTTGGACACCCTGCATGAACAAGTGACATTTATTTGGTATTTACCGGCTACTTGGCACCTTGGATCTTGAATCCCAAATTGTCGATATAATTACAGAACTAGCCTCTTCGGTAAGTGTGCAGTCCAGTCACGAGCGCCCTACCCCTTGAAGGACACTGGACATGCAGGATATCGGCTATACGAGTAGACAGCCATACGGCATGACTTCTACGGGAACACCTCTACCTAGCAAGGCGAACGGCATGCTGTTGGTCTAAGACACAGCATCAACACTTGAGAACCGGACGAGGTTCCCCAAAGCCTGCGCTACGTCATCTGAGAAGGCGGTAACACATCCTTACATATGCGGATGGGGCAACACTTATCCTAGGAGGCGGATATGAGGCTGAAAGTTGATTGAAAGATTTAAGCAATTCTAATGGCTGGCTAAATGTTCCCATGGTGTCCTTGACAGCCCTGTGGGTAAAACCATCTCAGTGATCTGGTGGTGGTGGCGCGCGATGAGGTCGAGGATGCCCTGGCACTAGTCTATATCTAGGAACATCATGTGAT